ACTTCACAACGAGCGGCGCGGTGCTTATATACCTCCAATTAGATTTAGTGCACGTGGCGCCCGGGGGAGGTGTGCGATGCAGGAATCCCTTTTCTCTCTCCTCTCTCTCCTCCAGCTAGACGGGCTAAACACAGGTGCCCCGGGGAGGCAGCGGCAGCAGCCTACTCTACTCCGCTGATTCGGAAATAATCTCCCGATTTCACCCCACTACACGCTCCCCCCCCCTCTCTCTCACTCTATCTCGCTCTCTCTCCCCTCAATGACTCTTGCTCGCGGGGCCTCTCCCTTTGCTCTCCTTACCGTGTCGGGCGGCGGTCTTCGGATTGATACTGTGCTGGGTGTGTTGGGGGTCACGGCCTGTACCGCCGAGTCAATAGCACTGACCCATTGCAACCGGTTTGTATGAGGCGACCGCCGCTGCACCGCTTAGAGACCCTCGCCGGCAGAGGTCACCGTGTGCGCTCCTACCGGCCTCCTCCGCGGCGGCACGGTGGTCGTCGCTTCGACAGTTGCAGTCGGTATGCCGTCTGTTGTTTGACACCGTCACGTTGACGAGGAGAACGTATCGTCCGTGAGACTACTACTACTTGGCGGACTTCTCGTTGACCGGCATGAAACCTGCTGAACCACCACACGTTGGAAATTGACGAAGAATTTTAAGTTTTTTTTATTGCCTTCTTTTGCGAGTATGTTCATACCGAAGGATTTTCTGTCTTGAGAGACAGTGACCAATCCGTGCACAAAAAGCGATCGTAAAAATGCTTGCTAGGTTACAGATTTGTTCTCCAAGTGCTCTGTGAAAAATATTGTTGTAAAATGTAAACTCGAATTATAATTTAAGTTGTAAATTTACGTCAGCACATTTTTTACTCCCCAAGGGATTTGTAGTCGATACATACCACATGTATTTTTATGATTACAAATTTTAATTTTACAACTTGCGTCAAGGAAAAATTTCCTGTAAACCTACCTACTTTTGTTTCACAGTGTGCAGAATGGTCACATCTCCGCCCCTATCAAACTCAGTATGATAATTGCCATGGTGCCTGGTCGGCCCCCCGACAGACGTGAGTAGTGAACCTTCCCCGGGCGTTGCGCGGCGTTGCATACAGGTCAGAAACGCCACGCGTCAGACAATGAGTGGTAGCGGAGAGGCACTTTATCGGCTGTGCGGATCGTGCAGCCCACGGACCGTTTAGTTATTAGCGGCGACATTACACAAAAATCGAACGGGGTGACGCCATTGCAAACCCTCCGGGTGGTCAGCGTGGCTGGGGCGTGGTGGGGCGTGGTGGGGCGTGGTGGGGCGGGGCGTGGCGGCGAGGCGCCTGCTGCCTTCAAATAGCCGGCGCACGACTCAGACGTGCCAAAACACACTACTCGGCGAGCCCGCCCGTCTAAATCTATGAACGCCAAATTGCACAACTAACTAGACTGTCGTGCTGTCCGGTGGGCGTTTGGCGGAGGGAGGAGGGGAGTGGCGAGGTGGTAGAGGAGTGGTGGGGGTCTGCTGCGCGGCCGGCAGCGGTCACAACGAGCTGCGAGGCACTTCGTAATTAATGACACTGCGGCAAAAAAAAAAAAAAAAGGAAAATCTCCAACCTTTATATATACGTTTTCCTCGGTTTCCCTCCAAAAGTTTCCCCGTGCCAACATACCTTCTGTAACAGTTTTGCCCTGTGCGCGGGGCGGGCGGGCTATCGCGGGTGATCGCGAGATAAAGGCTTATGAAACGCCTCTCCTCTCCGGTTACAAATGATGTATTCCACGCTGCACGCTGCAGTGGGTGCGTGCGTGCACTGCACACGCCTTGCACACGCGTGCGGCACACGCGTGCGGCAGCCGCACATGATGGTGACGCGCTGATGGTGGCTGAAGCGATCAAGCCGCCCGATAGGACGCGGTGCGGCGTGCCGACTCACTTTGATTTAAGTAGTTCTGTCTTTTTGATAACGTTATTTTTTTGACAGTCATTGTTTTTCTACAATGCTATATGTATTACAGCCCATCTACATTAATATGTGTATGAAACGAAAGTTCAAAGTCGAAAAGGGTCAGGGGGTTGTTGGAAAACGGCGGCTGTAGCGAAGCAGGTTGTCCTCCTTGCAAGGTGATGTGACACTGGAACTGGAGAAAGTTTATTTGTGGCAAATACTAACGCTCGTGCGTGTGCGTGGCCGATCGCGCTGTGTGGTCACTCCTCTTCTTATCTTCCAAGGCACCATAATTACCACCCCATAAAGCGGGGAGCGTTAATTCCAAGTCCAGGAGAGGACGTAATCTTCATGGGCAGGGAATAGCTGCCGCACACTTCTGCAAATAAACATTCTCTAAAACCTTGGCTGGCGGCAGCGGACGACTTTGCCAGACGACGTGTTGTCGGATTTGGAAATAGTTTCACGAGTGATGGTCTCCTGTTTTCGACTGTTTCCTTTTCCGGCACCGCGCGCCGGCTCCGGCAGCAGACTACTGTCCGAGAGCTGCCCCATCATCTTTGGATTGTGATGTTACCTGGCGCGGTCGTGGGGACCCCGATTAAAAGAAGCGCAAGATTATTTAAGCCGGTTTTCTCTCTGCCCGATCCGATCAATCGATCAAATCGAACCGTCGTCGTCCCTTATCGGTATGAAAAATATTGTGCGTAGCCAGCCGGTTGGGTCAATCCATTAGGATGGTCTGTGGTCTGTAACGGTCGCACCGACGAGACGCGGTCAAGTGCCGGGCAGAAAGTGACAGTGAGCGGAGGGGGCACAAAACAGACCATACCGACACTCATTGTTTTGATTTTTCTACGCGATAGCCAGATGGGCCTGAACTGAGCATGTGAGAAGTTTGTAGTCTTTTCTTATTTGCCTATTGTCTGCCATGGATCGTAACCTATTTCGAAATGCGGCAGAAGTTTTCTCTGCTTTCATATTTTTCCAGAATTAGCCCAGACGACATTCCAGCGACTGTAAAGGGCTGCACCGGGACTAGGGCAGGAATATGATCTTGAGAAAACATCCTTTTTTCCTTCCAATTTGACGTGTACCCAGCACTTTTTGTGTTATTAATCAAGTAAAAACATTTTTTAAAAAATTTACAACGCGGGTGATAACTAAACGGAGATTTTGCGAAGGCTGTATCGTGGGAGACGTTGGTCTGGCCGGGCGCACTTCGGCCTAGTATACACAATATCCATCAGGATGTCAGTCAGAAGGGCGACGAGAGGAGAGGGTAGAGGAACAGCGAACCGGTGAGGATGACTTTTAATATCGTGTGTTCGATTGATGGATTGGATGTTCGGGATGATCCCCGCGGATGTGTGAGTGTGTTGTGTTGTCCAGGGAGAGCTGGAAGAAAGTGACGAGCAAAGCTCAGCAGGAGAGAGAGAGAGAGGAGAGATAGACGGGAGCATTGGATAGAGTGCTGTGAAGGGCAGGGCTGGTCTGAAAGGCGCTCTATTGCGTCATTGTTGGAGTGCGATTGTTGAAAAGACTCTTGTGTGCGCGCGCATCGTGTGGGCCCTCTGCTCTAATGAACGCTGTGGCGCCTATGGCCGCCTATGGCGGGTCAACAACCCTCTCTCCTGCTGCACCTTCCGTGTGTGAAAGTGTCACGAGTGATGGTGAACTTACTGGCAGCAACTCAAGGGTCCATGTCAGCAAAGTGTCCGAAAAATACCATGCATTGGAATGGGGCGTCGAGTTGCGTCCAACATTTGATGTGCCATAAAAAGGAAAAAAAGGTTCCAAAATTGAACTTGATCAAAAATATAACTTGGTAAAAGAATGTGTAAAGCACTTTGGATATTGCGGTGAACTGATTGTTTGTTTTCTCCTGTGTTGCAGCTGGTGGAATGCTTAGGAATCTTACTGTTCCAAGCCCTCGACTTCGGCTCCCAGGAGGAGGAAGAGCGGAGGCTCAGCCCCGACCTGGAGAGGCTCATCGAACACATGACGACAGGTGAGTGTGAGGAGTGAGGACGCCCTCCTTCGGGCTCGAATATGAGCCCTCAACAAAGGCACTCAAGTCTTGAAATCTTTAGCACCCCACTGAGTCCAGTAACTGCAAAAGCACTCTTACGGAGACTTAAACGCAATTGTCAGTCCAGCGCGTCAAATGTCAAAGCTAGCAGTAATTCGAACAAATATTTTTTTCAATACTAAATTCCGATTCCGGTACAGTTCGTCGCTGACAGTCTTTGCATGTTCAATCGAACTTGAGGGAAGGGGACACTGAGAGCGTATTATTGCCCGTTTGTAAATGTAGACATTTATAAATTCCAGAAAGAAATATGGCACATATGTGGCCAACTAATGAAATCGCTTTTTAGAATTAACATCGATAATCCGCCAAGTAGTTTACCCATCTAGGGTTTGGCTGGTGACACGTGCCCGTGCCTTTTAAGCTGCTTTGGTCTCGGTCCAAGGCGCGGGGCGGCACGGGGCCCCCGGGGAGGATGCGTAGCCGTTCATCTGCCAGGCCTCCCCTGAAAGCGGCCACGATTGGAAACTAGTTTGGATGTTTCGCTTGCTTTATGGAGGGTGCGCGAAGGAGTGAGTTTCAAGTTTCGCCGACGCCGTGGGTGTGTCGCGGGGCCAGCGCGGGAAGTGGTCG